ACACATGAAAACAGAAAAAGTCCAGAAGATGTCTTAGGCAGGTCTTCAGCGAGCGCCGACCGAAGGAAGGTGTGAGCATTGTTTTGAATTCAGAAATATGTTTAGACCTCTACAGATTTTTGATTTATATATTTATATCAGATTACGAACCTTATACATAAAAAAAGCAAAGAAATCCAGAAGATGCCTTAATTAGGGCCCCAGCGAGCGCCGACCGAAGGGAGGCGTGAGCATTGTGTTCGATTTATAAGTCACCAAAGGGCGTTCGCTTGCGCAGATCCAACTTAATAAAGTCAAGGGACCGAGCGAGTGGAGACGAGCGTTACCTTGTGATGTATGGCCCTGTCTACAATACCAAAGTTAAAGCAGCATTAAGCAATTCTATTGGCCGAAAGTTAGTTTAAGCCAATAGAGTTCCTTAAAGCTCCTTTAACTTTTATAGTGTGGACAAGGCCATTTCGGACATCATTTAACTTTAACGCTTCAATCATGAATGAGTTCAATAACCAATAATGTATTTCCATTAGGCAAGGGCGGTAGCGCCAGTTCTGTGAGGGAAACAAACATCCGACTCTCTACTCAATTTTTCTGTTTGAGATTAGAAAGTCAATTGTAGAACGTAAATTCAAACCGATCGGCTGTTAGAAAGCCGCAGCCTTTGAGAATACTGAAGCCAGGAAGCAGCACAATTTTAGGGGAAACGTCAAAATCTTATCGGTGAACGCTCTTGAAGTTAATTTCGAGTTAACTCTGAAAAATTTGTAGTGGGAACGTAGTCTAAGCCACCAAATGACGTTATTCGTCGAGAAACTTGACTTTCTGGAAATAACAAAGAAAAGATATCTGATTTGTTGATGTAGAAGTGACTATAATGATTACATAAGTGGCTTCTTAGACTGTAGACTTAACTAGTGAAAAAAACTATAGCCTCAGTCGATAAAATTACAAGACAACATCGAAAGGCAACACTCACATTAAATGTGGAAAAAAGACATTATCTTCTCTTGAAAATGTCACTGACGAAGTTGGCTATCCTTTGAACATCCGTTCTATACATCCGAATGTATCCGTTTCGTACATTCTACGGGCAGGCCTATAGAATGTTATTTGGTCCGGCACATACGGACCGCTTCCGAAAAGTTATACGTTCTCTCCGGGCCGGACCGGGCTAAAATTCTTCAGCCGGATACGGACCGATCCGAAAAAAGCCGGTCCGGGACGATCACTGGTCCATCATATATAACATATACTAGGAATCTAACAAATAGCGAGATATCTCTTTCCACATTAGATATCCCATGTGGGAGAGTTTTTTCTCTCAACGCGTAGTAGAGAAGAAAGAGAGCAGAAAGATATGCATATGCGGAAAGAGTTCTCACCTTATTTGCTAGTTCTGTACGATTAACATTCTTTTAAAAGGCGATGAAACGATTTTTTAAGAGTTGATAGCGGATGAGGCGATGGCGGAAGGACAGAGGATAGTCCATCACGCATCTCTCATGGTAGTATTCTAACTGACGAAATAACTACATTTTATTCTATTTAAATTTTATTTTTCTAACTCAGTTTAATATAATAATTTCCAATTTATCTTTGAATCCATTTCATGGTTTTTTATATGAAATTATTCGAGGATATTTCATGTTTTGTACGTTATTTATGGACTGTTATTTTTCATAAACTCATGGTTTTTATCGCTGGTGTACGTATAAATATACGCCTTAATGGTACTGGATATCAAGTTTCTTACAAACGTCTTCTACTTCATGACATGTCCAAATTTAGTATTGCTGAATTTTGGCCATACGCTATTCATTTTTGTGGTAAAGCGAAAGAAAAGGAGACTTTCCATAAGGCATGGCTTCATCATGTAGCTTCCAACGACCATCACTGGGAACATTTTATTCCAAATTATTCAGATATATCAAACCAACTGTGGAATGAACCGCAACTAGCACAGCCACCGAAAGAAATACCAGACGATGCACTAATGGAAATGATTGCCGATAATATAGGTGCTACGCGTTCGTATGAGGGTCATTGGCCAACGAAATACAAATGGACATGGTTAACAAATTATTATGATAAATATATTTTACATCTACATTCAAGAATAAAAATGTCAGCATTATTATGTGCATTAGGATACGCTGATGTACTTCCATCGCCATTCGACTGGGATTCAATCAACATTCTACCTGATCGCAATACAGTGAATCGGTTACGTTTATTAGCAAAAAAAGACGAATAAATAGTTCATGCCTAGTGTTTTTTGTCATTTATATATCAATTTATATAAGAAGTTTAAAACCAAGGGGGTAAAAGCGTTTTGGAATGGTACGGAATGACCCATTCCAGCCCATTCCGCTTTTCTCTCTTGTTTGAAACACATACTTGAGCGTAAAAAAATCACTTCTGGACATTTTCATCGTATTTTTACTGTTAAGGGGTTCTTGGTTGAAGACATTTGGTATTGGATATTTTTCTACACTCTGTAAGCTGTATCTCTAATATTGTCCGATAATGTTTGACTGATAATGTGGAGAGTCTCACCTGACTGTCTTTTATCAAAGACTTTCTGTTCCAACTACAGAATAGTCTGTAGTCTATCGAAGGAGCCAGTGATCAGTTTCGCCGGATTACGTTACAAATAGAATTTTATTCTTGACTTTTTAAGGTGTTAGAAAATATCTTTTCAGGTGCAAGAATGTTTTTGAAGTTTGAACGCTCCTCAGGAGCGCGTAGATTTGGACTACAAAATGAGGTAGTTTTGTACTTAACAGCTTTCAGACTTAGTCAAAAGCGGTTTGTTTCTTAAGAGATAAAATTACAAGAGATCTTGAATATAATTCATTGGGGATTTCGTGTACAACAGTTTGTATAAAAATTAAAGAGTTTCTAGTTATTCTATCTAAATCAATGTTTTTTACACAACTAGTTTTGACGTTGCGAAAAATAATCAGATATTCCAAAACCCACGAGCGACTTTGCTTGAAAGATTAGTATTACAAGTACATATGAATTCAATCACTCATGGCACTAACTGATGGCATAATCATTTGACAATGTTTGAATGCTCTCTTGTTTAAATACAAAAAAAGAAAACTCTTTACTATCATACGAACACCTATGATGTCTACCGTAGATCAGTCGAATACAATGTTTATCAAAAGTGAAGCATGATAGTTGTACAATGCAAATTTTGTGTGGTTGATTTATGGCTCTTACTAGATGCTGATCATTTGTCAAGTTTAAACCAGTTTGACTGGATATTTTGTGAGATGGGTAGTAGTAAAACATGTAGATACCCACAGACAGCACACAGACAGCCCAAAATAACTATACAGACATGTTTTACTATTATCCTTTGTGAGGTGCCATAATTTTCATTTTTTTCGTAAGATAAGTTTTGATTCAAAGCGAATGAACGTTTTTCCACAAAATGTAGCCAATCATCATAACTATATCTTCTGTTATTGACGGTCAGTTAACGCGTTGGTTATGCATGGTGGCTGAAATACAATCACTTTACGATTTTGAGGTGATATTTAAACAATTCATAATTCAGTCATTATTTTGACTTTAAACTGTCACTAAAACAATTATGCTAAATACAAGCATAGGATCTATGGGGACAAAGTAACCTAGTTGACGTTTTGTGAAAGATCTCAGAAAGTCGTGCAAAAATGAAAAGTTCAAGACTCTGCTGCACATTCACCTTTTTTTGCCGAGACACATAGTATATGAGGACTATTGATTTGATGACAAATGTTCAAACTTTTTTGCCACATTCATTACTGAAAGATTAGCTTATAATAGCCTAGATCAGAGATGCAGTGGTTTCGATTTTTGATGAGAATTGGTATCAATTCCATCCGTTACCGGGTTGAAGAGACACCAGCTTCGATGAGAACGGATACCAGTTCGCATATGTCCTGATAAATTCATGACTGAAACCGATCAGAACTAATCGGTACTGATGATTATCTAACCTCAACTTTCATTTGAACAAACAGATGGAGTATCAAAATACGGACCAAAAAAGTGTTATTAAAGTTAAAGGCTCGTGGGAGTTTTCCCAGGATAGTTGGTTAACTAGGTTATGCGAACCTCATTCAAACTTCAAATTTTCCTGGTTTGAATGTCTCTGATATCTACGTGTTTCTTCTCTCTTTTATAGAAAAACAAACATGTGTAAACGTCAGCGATAATACCATTAAAGCGCTGTTTGAATTAATAATGTAAGACAAACAGCACTTTAATGGCATTACCACTAAAGTAAAATTTTGCTTTTTCTTTGAAGGAAAGTTGAGTGATTAAGATATTGTTCAGACTGTATAGGCACAAAATTTGAAGTTGAAAGTTATCATAATTCCTGGGTTAATGGTGAGCGCATCGTTTTAACCAACGCAACGTCTATTTTTGATCTACGTTTGAAACAAAAAATAAAAAATAAACTCCTTGTATATTTCTTCAAGTATTGCGATGCCAATAATTGTTGTGATGATCATTTAACACTCAGACGCATTTTAACACAAGTACAGCAATACATTTTAGATTACTGCACTGTATATTTCACTGGACCAACAGTGTACGTAAGGACAAAAGGATCAATATAATGGAAATCTTCATTGTTTTGGATGTATGAGCTTTTTGAACTAGGTTTTACGTTGTTGAAATAATATATCGTCTTTCATCACTTCCTGGTATTGGTGATGACGCTGTAAGTAATATATTCTTATCTTCAATTTTTAGTGAAGGTGTACATTGTACCACGTGTGTCAATCTTTTAACTCACGAAGGTAAAATGAAAATCAGTTTACTTCTCTCAAATTTCAAATGTTGAAAAGTTGTACAAAACGTGAAATCAACCCGAACTTAGCCTGTACTTGTCTGATTAATCTTTCAAAAAAGTGAACGGTGTTGTCGATGCTGATGATTGATTTTAGTATTTAGTATGTTCTAATAAAATTATGCATCAATAAATAACTGTTGCAAATTTACTAGGAAAAGTAGATTTTGTTTTTCTTAACCGGAATCAAGAGATATTGTTAAAGAAAATTGAGCTTTAACTTCCTTTCTAGGTTGAAATGTAAACAAAAGATAGTTGAGTCTAGAAACAGTTCTGTTGCGTTCGTCATTCATCAACCAGTGTTATTCAAACATCAATAAATTCACAAGCCTAGCTGTATACAGACCTCTTTCTACTTAATATGATTTTAACGTTTTTTTTGTCGATTTCCTTTTCATTTTCTGTTTCCTAAATTTTCTCCTCTTTTGTATTATTCTTATTTTCAATTTCTACTGCAAAAAAAAGAGTTTCCGGTTATAGGTTGTTCTCTCATTGTTAAAAAGAAGTAAAATAGGTGTACGAAAAAAATATTCATATGCTTTAAAGTCAAAAAGAGAAAAAAAAAAGAGAAAATCATCTTTCGTCGACGAAATATTAAAATGAAAAATAAAATTTCGACACCCCAAAAGCACTATGCACATGCGTGTGTGTGTGTATATGTATAAAAGAAAAATTAATTATTCTTAAAAATGTGATGAAAAAAGGTTTTATTTTTTTGTAAAAGTATAAAGTATCGACTAATTCACTTTTATCCATTATCAAAGAAGATAATTTAAGAACGGTTATGAATCCTACAATACCTGAGGTAATATTATTTCGTTTAAAGTTTGTGTTTATAAGTGACCGCGACTAACCAAGATGGATTGAAGTAGTTTTTTGCTTTTTTTGACAGACATATTTCATATCTTAGCAATAAATCGATTTTGTTCAAAGTTGAGCGCAGCAGAGTTCATCACGGATGTTTGATTAGACATGCTGGTTGTAAATCTAATTTGACCTGTGTTTTATTGGAGGGCGGTTTGAATGATATTGTTGAGGATCCATCGGAAGTGGGTGATGAAGGATACATTGACGATGAAGAGTTTGATGAAACATTACCGGTGGATGAAAATAATGCAACAGCGCTAAGTGACTCGAAAGAACAACAACATACCCGTCCACCAACAACAAGATCATTAATGTCATCTGGTCGATCGTTTACAAAGGATTATCGACGAATTCGACGTAATCGACCATTAATAACTGGTTTAAAAAAAGATCCAGCAATTGAGGCAATTAGAGAAGGACGACAATCTGTTGTTGAAAACGCCTATACTCGTTTATCACGGAATGCAACTACAGCAGGACAAAGTGGTAGACCATCACAACAATTACGTATGAGCGTCGTCGATATAAAACCATCACAAGGTACAAATGATCTATTAAATAATATTTTAAATAGACGTCAATCTGTAGACAGTTCAAAAGTTATCTCCTCAATTCAGAAACCATTGTTAACTTTGCAACAACAGGATATGTTTATGGATGATAATTTCAGTGAAATTGAAAAAGGCAAGTAAAAATTTGTTTTGATTAAAATTTAATTGTTTATTTTTTTTGATAGATAATGCGAGCATTGATTCATCAGATAAAAGCGGTATTCAAATATACGAAGAAACATGTAAACGTTTGAACGTTGTTTCATGTTCAAGAATAATTCAAAGTTTAACCACATCATCATTAAATTTGTCTAATTATGGCTTGGGAAATCGTGGTTGTCAAGCATTGGCAGTTGCTTTAATTCGTAATACAACAATAACATCATTAAATTTAGCGGGAAATAATATTGGTAGTAAAGGCATGTCATATTTATATCAAATATTAACAGAAAATACGTTCATTGAAGATTATGTAAGTATTATTTACAATTTTCTCAATAATGTTTTCTTTTTGTTTTTGTGATTATAAAAGGATTTATCATATAATAATCTTGGTACGAAAGGTATTCGAAAATTAGCAAGTTCAATGTTAGAGTGTGTACATTTAAAATCATTGAATATTGCTGGTAATCTTTATTATTATTATTGAAACGATGAAGATTTTTTAATGTATTTATTTTTTCAGGTAATGGTTTACACGCGTCAGATATCATAATTTTGCTTGATGAGTTGGAAGTGGGTATCTCATTCAGATTTAAAATCCTACGAAAATGTGATTTTCATGTTTTTTTTGTAATAGGATCATCCAAATTTAAAAAATTTAAATTTGAGTCAAAATGATATTGATGAAATGGGTGGAAAATATGTAGCAAAATGGCTAAGTAAACTTTATTTTAAGTTATTCATTGAATATCAAAATTTACATAAAATGCTCATATTTCAGGTGATAATAATGTATTGTTAAATTTGGATTTAAGTTGGTGCAGTATTCGATTGGAAGGTGCAGAAGCAATTGCCAATGCCATCGGAGTATGTTGGTGTGTAATTAATTGAATATGAACATAATGGATAAAACTGAATTTTTAATATTGTTTTCTTAAGGACAATAATAAACTTATTTCATTGAATTTATCATACAATAGTTTTAATAATGATTCGATTGCTATAATTGCTAATTCATTAAAACGAAATGTTACATTACAACAATTAAATTTAAAAGGGAATCGTTTAACGGCTAAATATGATCTAAATATTAGAGATGATCCAAAATTAATATTGAAAATGGAATTATATGAATTGATACTAGCTGCAGCAACCAACCAAGCATTAAAAATTCTCAGAGTAAGAATATGTAACAAAAAATTTTCATTTAAATTGACTTGTCGAGAAATGAACAAAAATCTAATCAGGTTTATAACTGTTGTGTATATCTTCGAAGAAATACAAAACGACAGTATTGAATAGGGATGTTCGGTTCTCGTGAAGAACCAGAACCGCGGTTCGGTTCCGCATCAGGAACCGGAATCGGGGTTCTCTTATTTTCAGTTCTTCATTGAGAATCAGGACCGCGGTGTCGGTTCTCACAATGGAATCGGAACCGCTGTTTCTTAGACGATTCCTTTCTTTCGGAACCGAAACTTTTTGGTTTGCTTTTCTTAGCGCCAGACGAAATGAACCATAACTTTGTGGAAAATATTGTTTATCCTTTCAGATAATACTAATGTTTGAATGAAGTGTCGCGGTTGTTTCGTTTTACAAATGTCAGCAGATAGATGTCACCGATCATTCAAATGTTATTATTATCTGAAAGGATAAACAATATTTTCCATAAAGTTAGGGTTTATTCCGTTTGGCGCTAAGAAAGTTGATTTTTTATTTTCACTTCATATAGCGTAGACATTTTCGCTGCTTATACTGCTAGAAATAATATAATAGATAAAATACAATGTATTTAAGCTTTTTGACGACTTGGTTTTGCAAAGCAAACATCTTGCCTACAGAATGAGACATGGACTCCTCATCCCTTTTCTTTTTCTTGCAATCGCCTCTTGACAAAGAGCCATAAATCGGCATTCAGTATGGATCATACGGTGTTTGGTAAATATTTCTATTTCACTACTGAATCAAGACATTAAGTTCTATCATACCTCATTTTGTTTGTTGACGACAATGTATTTTATTTTTTAGCTTGGTCGTAATCACATTGATGGAAAGTGTTTAATTTATATGTTAGATAATTTATCAAAATTAGATAATATCACATTAGATGAACTTGATTTAACCGTAAGCATTTTTAATGTTACTAATTAATATTTCATATCTGTTTTGATATAGGAATTGACAATTAATAAGACTCAATCAGACATTCAATTATTATTTAAAGCACATTCAAAATTTCGATGTTTAGTTGGACCTGTAAAAAAGAGTGAACAACAAATGGCTAAGGAACAATTAAATTTACTTAAACAATATTGTGATAAAGAAAAAATTAGTTTTCAAGAATTATTTATTGGATCGGCACCAGCGGAAAATGTAACAATTACTTATGAACAATTTCGTGAAGGAATAAAGGTAATTTAAGTTATATAATAAAAAACACAAAAAAATTTGACATAGAACAACAATTCATTTTAGAAAACTCAGATTCCATTAATTCCATTAGAAATCGAAGAATTAATTCAATTTCTTGTAAGTAATTTACTTAATATATCATGATTTTGGTTGATAAAATATTGTTTTTAGGACAAAGATGATACTAGTCAAATTGAATTGAGGTAGGTAGACATTCATTCTACAAAATATCATACACTAGTAGTATTCATTCTTATTTTAACTTAGCTCGTTGATAATGGCGGAGACGAAATCAAAAACAACATCTTAAGTTTGATTTTTCTTTTTTTGTGTACTTCGTTTATTGTAAAAAGAAATGATAAAACTTGTACAACTGTGACATGTAATCGAATTAAAACATAACTTATCTTTTTAATTCTTTTGAGACCCAAGAGCTTCTTCAAGCGATTTTTGCTAAATTCTTCATGATAATCTGACCTCTAAGGTCAGAATATGACTAAATGATAATTAATTGTTTTTTTACTACAAGTTGAGATTTTTTATCTATATTCAAAATTTGAAAGAAAAAGGAAGTCAAGATTGTGAAGAAAGAGTCGATTGATCAAGAAAAGAGATGCGAAAATCCAACAAAATAGGACTTTTTGAAATATATTATCAGCAACACAACAACTCCATTACCCAATTCATCAATTAGCTTAGCTGAGGGTGAGAGTTCCTACATTTCAGACATTTTACGAAGATTTCCACAAATTTGTATTTACTACTGATCGAGATGTCGTAATACATTTCCCTACAACTCTAGGAAATATACAGAATTCTGTGTGACTACTGCTTTAGACTGTTTTCTCCAAGTGAGAGACAAGATGAAATGTGGTGTAGTGGCTCACTCGCATGCTCTTCATGCACGCGATCCTCCGCTCTCAGTCACATAAAAATATTATTAGATTTCTGGACATTGTCTGAAATGTAAGAAAACTGCCATTGCTGTTTTCGACCAACTTTCTAAAGAGACATGAGTAGAAAAGAAGCTACTCTTGGACTACTTGAAATACTGAAATTAAATAAGTGTTCTTTTCTAAAATTTAAAAATATCCTGATTGTTTTAAACGTAAAACAAATTTTTTTTGATACTCAATTTTATTTCATAAAATCGATATTAGATTACATTTTTATATAACACATCGTTGTTGCTCTACATGGATTATGCCAATGTTCATTGGAAAGAATATTGGACATTAAAGAGTTAAAATTGTATCAGAGAGTCAACATTGAAACATCATATGTGTTGTTTATTGCATTCTTTTATCAAATTTCAGAATTTTTTAGTCTTCAGTGTTTTAAATACTTCATTATCAAATACTAAAATCCATATCGAAATATTTTAATTGTTGAATGAACAAACTACTAATTAGAAAATCATTTCTATTTGAGTTTGAGGTTTTTTAATCAACATACTTCTTTCCGCATTATAATAATTATAAAAGAAATGTTTGATGTTTGTTCATGACATACCGAATATTATACATTTACTATTGAACAATAAACATTCCATTATACGCTTCATTTTTACAGGAAAAAAAATTATCAATTTACACATCTTCAATCAACACGAGGGAAGATACAAGAGATAGACGGTAAATAAAAAAAAAATTTCTTTCATTTATTTGCTAATTTATTAATATCCTTAAAAATATGTGTCTAAAAGGTGATTAGGGTCTAATTTTGACTTTTAACTAAATCAAAATAATAAACAACACGATTGGAATTTTGATGAATTAATTTGTGTTGTCCTCGTTCTAGTCAACAAAAATAAAAAAAAATCCTTTTCTAACAGGTAATAAGGTCATACAAATACCTTTTTCACAATATTAAGTTAAATTAGTATATAAGCAAGAGAGAGAGAGAGAGAGGGATAGAATAAAATGCGTAAAATTATGCTAGAAAAAATGATTAAATTCTACAGTTGTTATAAGATAAGGAAACGTATATATAAGTGTTTGATGAACATCTTAAAATCTTTCATAACTTGATCTGAATAACATTTGAAAAACGGTAAGTGTCAAGTTTTTCTTGATTAATCAAGTCTTGAAAAAATGAAAAACAGCCAAAACACATACAATTATTATGACTTTAAAAGTTTAATCAAAATTTTTCTCATACAAACATAGACATTTTTGTATCATGTGTTATTATGACTATAAGAAATAGCAGGCGCTTATACGTACGTCATTATATTCAAATGGAATTTAAAGAAAAATGTCTATTATACGTCATTCATTTGTTGCATCATACTTGCTCAACTCTATTCATCTGTTTCAAATTTCGTTTGTTATACTCTCTTGTTTAAATGAATAGTTCACATTATAACCTTGTTCACAACGTAACATTTGTACTATCCTACTAGGTGCCTTCCTCTTCCCACGTACGACTATGCTCTAAAAGGAATAGAGAAAAAGAGTTTAATCGAAAATGGTTTGCTTTTAATGCTCTTCGATATTGAAAATGTTCTTGAATCCTTTAAAATCCTCAATTTTAGCTAAGAAAAAAATGAAGGTTATATAAACAGTAAGGTTTTCACATGTTACATACCAATTCATTATGAATCAAATAAAGAAAAGTCACTTTTAAACAGTTCGGTTTTGAGAGCTGATATTTCCTCAATATATTGTATACGAAAAGTAAGTCATAGTTTAAATTTGATTTTACCGACCTATTTAGTTGCAAAGATATTACGTCTTTCAAATTAACTTCACCACAAAATTTTCGTCGAGCATACTGACACTTTTTAGAGCTGAAAACTCACTAATTATACACATATGGTGTTGATTTATTAACGATTTCGTACTTCAGCTCTAAACAATTTTATCTTCAAAAATTAGGTAAATTTTATCGTTAAAAACGTCTAATTTTATGCGATTTTATTTTGAGTTGAAAGATTAGAATGCCAAAAAGCAAAACAGAATATTTAGAACAAAAGAAAGACATTTTTTTTTCAAACTCTCATCAGTGTGTATTTTTAAGAAAATAAGCACCATCAATTCTCTTAGCAAGAATACATTAGTCAAAGATGTATACAGAAACAGTTTCAGTTCAGTAGCGGTTTAGGTTAATAAACTTAAACTTTGACTAATATTAATATCGTTTTATGCAGAATTTATGGAGAAAATCAAAAAATATCGAAGCCGAACTATTTAAAAGTCATATATTTACACTCAATTCATAATGTTTCAGAAACATCTATCCGCAATTTATGCATACAGGTAGAAGTAATATCAATTTTGGATGAAAGAATTGAAGCATGAGCAAAAAACATTCACTTCAGCTCACATTGCCTTTTTTCTTCACACCAACATCATCAAGGTTAATATAGAGATATTAAGATTATAGCACTCTAATACAATTAATTAAATTCCACACATTGATTTCTGGTGAAAACCGCATCATTTATAGTTTATTGAAAAAAACAACACATATTGAAAAGAAGAAAAGCACGCCCCTTTTTTCTTTCCATTCTTTCGCGATATGTCGTCAATTTGAAAAGAGAATGTGAAAAAGTTTTACGCATATCGTGATGACGCCCAAACGAAAAAAACCGCGATAATAATTACTGTGTGTTACATATCCTACATATTTCAAAAGTATAAATGAATCTGAATGCGACACATATTTTTGTATCAGTAAATGACGTCATTATCGTCATCATCATTCGATCTAATGCCAAGGCGTTTTACAGAATGTGTATGTGCGCTGATTTTTCTTTCTCTCTATTGCTGTTTATCCACACGAGAACAAAACTGAATGACGTCGCGTTGTGTATATTGATCTGTCTGATGAAGCTATATATGAGATACACAACAAAGAGAGAGAAAAAAAAGTACCTTTTACAAAAACTCAGAGTGTGTATGTATATACTCGAAGCAAGAAAAAAAGTTCCTCGTTTTTTCTAAAGATTTTATGAACAGTGTTACTGTGCTCGCTCATTTTATCGATGTAGGTCAATGAGAACATCAAACTTATTAGGATTTTTGTACGCATGATAAGAAAAGTAAGTCAAGCTCATTGATTGTTGATTGCTTCTGAACAGATCTCAAACTCCTTATTATTTATCAAAATCGTCGATCAATTTGATAAAACTTCAACATATTAGAACTCGAATACTTTTCTGTGCATTAATTATGAAACGCAAAGTAAAGAAAAAATTTGTTCTGTTCGCTTTTGGACTGGAGAGAAAACTACTAGTGGTCAATACTATACCTGGAGTTGGAGATATCCTACTTTTATTTTTTTATTACTACACGCAAATAACTCATGAGCCAAACAAGGTGAATACATCATCCTTGCATCAAAATGTCTCTCTCAGCTGTCAGTTTCATACATATGCACACTTCTGCTATTTAGAAAACGAAGACTATTTCACAATCTTTCACTTCAGCCACTTTTCATACTTTTTCCTACAACAGCCATCATTTATCATTTTCGACTCGAAACTTTCATGAAGCACTGTTCTCTTGACAACATTATTCTCACAAAGTGTGATTCATCGGTATTTGAATCAAACGTGACCGAAATGGAAGAACAACACTTCAACAGCTATAGAAGAACTCTCCTCTCGTTCGGAATATTTTTGCGACTTTATACACTTGTTTCTAAAGCACATGATTATTGTACGATAGTAGGAGAGGGTAATGGTTTTTGAGATCTACAGTTTATTGAATTAAGCGACACAGTTTCTCGTCTGAATCATCCTTGAGACATCCATCTTTCATGGCATTTTGACTAAGGTTAAGAGCCATCGATATGTTCTTCTGAGAAATAAGATATTTGCAGAGAGAAGAGAACACTTTTCTGTCGATGGTAAATGTTTCAAGTGTGATTTGTAGATATTCATATGGTTACATCGATATTGACTTGAATATAGAGTATTTATGTGGTTATGATGGACATGGTATGGTGAGGATAGAGGCTCAATTTTGTTTAACACAATTTGATTCAAATCCCGATGCATTCTATATTTTATTATGAGAATAATGCTGTCAAGAGAACATTGCTTCATGAAAGTTTCGAGTCGAAAATGATGAGTGACGACTGTTGTACGAAGAAGTATGAAAAGTGGCTGAAGATTATGAAATGGTCTTCGTTTTCTAAATAGCAGAAATGTGCACATGTATGAAACTGACAGCTAAGAGAGACATTTTGATGCAAAGATAATGTATTCATCTTATTTGACTCGTGACTTATTTACATGTAGCGATACAAAGTAAAAGTCAGTTAGACAATTGTTTTTAATTATAAAATCAGGTCATTTGTGATATCTAATCATGGTGAAAAACCAAATGCTTTTCTTTCTTTTAATCCATCAATGTTATTACGTTTCTATGTTGTTTATATTCTACATTGTAACTTAACAGAGTCAATGTGTATGTTTATATGATCGAGTATATTTCAAATGAATAAAAAAAAAAGCGAAAAATGAAAGCTCAGGAGTTATTTGCATGTAGTAATAAAAAATAAAAATAGAATATCTTCAGAATCACAAAGGCAATTGAACTAAAATTAGTTGGGTGATCAGAATATCGGTGGAGCCACAACTACAAAAATTTCATATCCATAGCTGTCATGCTACTTGTGATACAAAGTAATGGGGTCTTTACATCTATATGAAAGCAATCTGAGGCATGTCTGAAGAGAGAAGGTCGCATTGCATAATGAACAGAAACAATAAGAAAGAGCAAAGAACATATTCATTTGTTTTAGATTGTCTCTCGATGCAGAGAGAGAAAAAGAGAGAGAAAAAGAGAGAGAAATATGTATAGATTGAGTGTGAAATTTGAAATATTGTACCATATGTTCGATGAACGTTCAAAAAAAAATCTGTTCAACTAAAAAATACCGAATGTTTAGACAACTATATTTCGACATTCCACACGTTGAAAATATGCGTAGACAATATTATAGATGAACTGAACGCGGAATAGTCAAATTCGGTATTTCTCTTTGAAACGGAAGAAAAAGAGGAATGTTTTCTATATACTAAACAGACCATTGATGCATAATCTCTAAATGCGAGAGAGTTCAGTGGGAGAAAAAGTGTATGTAGAGGTAAGATGCTAGCAATTTCTTTGCTCGCAAATTTAACAAATGCTTTTGAAAAGTACAGAACTTTTTTGCTGTCATTTTGACGTTCTACTCATTTCATTTGCAAGCAAAAGAAAAAATATTTTTTCTGAAGACATGCTATCGGACTATCGTTCTAGAGTTGTCAAAGAATAAATTTGTTGTGCTCTGTTTCTATGAGAAATGCTTTGTGACCTGTGCATTGTGCCGTTCCAATAATTAGAATGAAGGCAAGTTGCCAGCTGAAATGATTTTCTATTGTTCTGCGACATTTTCTCTTCTAGATCATGAACAAACTTGACGGTAGTAGCCAGTCATCATCCTCTACGGATGCTAGTTATTATTCATCTGAAAATAGCGAACATAAAGCATCGCCGATGAATGAAACAACAGCAATATCATCATCATTATTACAATCAAGAAAAAATTCGATTTGTAATGTGCCAATAAAAAAACGCCGTCCATTTATCGTTGATTCATCGAATACATCATCAAATGATTTGGATAACAGACTGTATGATAATTATTCAAATAATGAAAATGACTATAACAGATCAGTAACAATACCAACAAAAAAGTAAGTTTTTTTCTTGTACACACAGATGACTAGTTCAAAATTCTATAATTTCAATTCCAGCCATTTCAATAATGATGACAATTCTGCTCATGATCGATTAAAATTATCGTACATGTCGGCCCATCTTGAACAAATGAATACATTTTTTCGCCAGCAGCATCCATATATTACCACTAGTACATTTCCATTTTTTCCGTTGTCAACATCTGTCGATTATTTATTAGCACAACAACTTCTTGAAGCGTATCGGTTGTTTTCTGAAAATGCATTAAAAGATCGTCATACAAATTTCAATGGTAAAGTATCGAATAACATTTGTTATATGTATGTATATATATATATAATATGTGACAGGAAAATTAGAAGTATAAAAAGTAACATTGTTCTATTTCCAAAGATGACTTTTAATATTATGAAAAGCCGAACAGGTTCATTACCAGTACCAGAAGATCATTTTAATTGGTATTTGTGAGCGAATAAACCTATTTAACATACTACTTAAGTTTAAAACTACTTTGATTTTAATAGAGAAAACTAAAATTTTACTTTTTCCTGTAACAGATGTATAAGTATATATGTATATATATATATATATATATATGCATAAATATATATTGCATTTAACTTGTTTTTCAGATAATCATATGAAAACGGATTATACGATTGAAGAACATTTTCGTAAAAGTTTAGGTGATAATTATGAAAAATTTGCCAATGGTTTTCTCACACCACCAACATCAATCTCATCTGGAACATCGTCGAATTATTCAGATTCTGAATCAAATAATTCACCGATAGAACCAACACCAGGTAGTTTGAAATTGTTAATTTGTTATAGAATATTTTAATTACAATAACAGTATCAAACTTTGTTTTTATTTAGTTGATTCAATCGAAGAGCATTTTGCTCGATCATTAGGCAAATTGTGGCCGATATCTACGGAAATTTGTACAAATTCATGTTCCACTACGCCATCAATACCATCATCGAAGGTTAATAATAATCATGAACATTTAAATGAATCATGTGTCGATGAACATTTTGCAAAAGCTTTAGGCATCGATAGATGGGAAAAATTGAAAGAAAAGCATGTGAATAATACATAAATGTTTGTTGTGTTTAGTATTTCTTTGTCTCTCTTACTTCACAGTTTTTATGTAAAAACTAAAGAGTATCTGTCCGTTGTTATTTATCCGGTGTCTTTGCTGACGTTTTCTTTTGAAACAACAATAAAAAAACGAATTTGATGTTCAGTAATCTTTTTTTTTCATTCAATGACGTTTAACGTCCAAATGTGTTTTCTGTTCTTATTTATTATTTGTAAATAAATGTATTGATAATTTCCGATCAATTATACAACTTAGTTTTTAACTATTTAATAACACGTTGAGATAATGATGTCAAATGCTACCCTGCTCTTAATCTGATGAAATTTCCTTTATTAGATTTATACCTACGATATTTATTATCGTAAGCATATCTCACCAATGTTTCTTCTGAAATGAGAGAAAAAGTGAAGAAGAAATATTTCAACCACGTTAATAAGCTGAATAAGACGTCATTTTATGACTTTCTGCAATTTGAAAGAAATTTGCTTGATGTCAACATTGTTCTCTAGTTGAAAAATTATTATTTCACTGCTCGAACTAATACATCCACATTATTACCACCAGTTAATTGCCGTTGACTATTATTGCTATTATTATTTGATTGTAGTTGTGTACGACTATTATTTTCTCCTTGGGGAGATCTGGACATGGTACCACGATTATATGTTGTTGTATTAGAATCATTTTTAAAGAAAGACGGATGCAATCCACCACGCGGAGGAGGTCGACCGCGAAAATCTGGATTATACATTGAGCTGAAGTATAAAAATACAATACTGGCCAAAATTATAAGAGAAATATGAATACTTCTACATATTCACAAATTCAAGCAGAGAGCAATCATTTGTCGAACAAATTAAAAATGTGATGCGTACGCTACTTAAAAAATTGTACTCATAGCACGCAGCAGAGAGATGATCATTCATTGCAGCAACAAATTTCAGAATCAAGAAGAAAATAAAACTACAACTTTCCCGTCGATACTGAAGACATGACATGTGCTAAGTCTACGAGCACTAGATTATTTTTGTCAACCTCTATTGAAAGAACGAATGTACTCTAAACGCGTTGAAAATTAATACAAGCGAAAACTGATAAACGAACAACAATGAAACATCATTGATACAGCGAGAACGCAATGACGCATACAAATTATCTAGAAACACCTAATTAATGTATGAATTTCTATACGTTGCGCAAAATCGTTAACTGAATTCTATAAAAACTACCTTATATAACCTATATACAAAATCCACAGGCAGTTTCATGGGGAAATTTATATTGATTTATTCCAATCACGAATCAAAGAATAATTTTTTTTCATCAAATAAGTACACAGGAACACTGGCTATAACTATCAAAAAAACATCTCTATGAAATTTTACGAAGCTTTTTATGAATATTTCTATCATTACTGCACTCCTGATCAACAACCACCTGTTAGAAACCATTAACTACACGGGATCGAGTGCTATACAACTACCTTTCAATCCTTACTCCATACAATGTACAATACAGTCGCCTAAAAAAACGACAAATCAAGAGAATATTTAATGCTAAAACCTTTACTTTCATTTTGTTATACCCTAGTGTTGAAGACGATTCTTTTCTATCCAAAACTTATTCGATCTAAAGACAGATACTTCCTATTTCGAAGAAAAATATGTTTTTATCAAGAATTTGTGAATATGCAGAAAGTGTTACTGGTAATTTTGATCAGTACTGTATGATTTTAATTTTAATCACAAAAAAAGGTTGAATAAAAAACTCGTATTCGCTATTTTTGATTAGCAGAAATGATTATAAACTACCTTTGACATAGCCAATCACATTCGTTACCGCCACGTCCACGAGAACTCTCTAAAAAAAATCCGTAGCTTACAAAACGAATATCGGTTTTGGCATTTGCTCCTAATAGAAACCGATATCCGTATCGTACAGTCCTGCATACCCGTTTCGCAGAAAACGTTTCAACGTTTTTTCTCTGGTACAAAACCTAAATCCGTTTCTTCACAAGGCAAAAAACGTTGAAGCGTATTCTGCGAAACGGTTATGCAGGACTGTATGATACGGATATCGGTTTCTATTAGGAGCAAATGCCAAAACCGATATTCGTTTTGTAAGCTACGGATTTTTTTTAGAGAGAGAACGTCCACCTAAAGCTAAGTTTATGAGCAGTTAGAACAAAGTAAAATATATTTGTTTTCTTTCTTTTAATGACATCGTATCTAACTGTTATTTACCGTGGTCGTCGTATTGATCAAGTCTCCGGTGAGGCAGTGGTGATCGACACTAAATAGGAAATAGAGAAAAGCTAATCTGCTAGAAATAGCGTTGTCAACGGCAGACTCACATTTCGTGGTCCTAATGAACCCATCATCATTTGATTTGTAAGTGGTTGACCCATTATCATCGGATTGATTGAAGGACCCATTGGCCTCATGGGTAGTCCGATAGGCATTGAAGGAAGACCAGCCGAACCGCACGGAACGGGATATCTGTGTCCATCTGCAGCTTGTTGCACTGCATGAGTGCTATACATTGAATATTCCCCATAGCCTGTTTGTTGCTGACCATTCACATTCTGAAGCGGTGGCTGTTGAGACATTTGCAAAGGTTCATTTTGAATACGTGCAAAACCTTTGGCAACAATTTCCAAATTTTTTGGCATTGATGAAATTTGTTGCTGCTGTTGCATTCTTTGTGGTAACCATTGTTGCTGCTGAAGATAGCTAAAATCAAAGTTGATAGCAGATCAACTTTATCGAGGTCAATATAACGAATAACCAACGAATTTCTTTGTTGCATTTGCATCATCGTTGGATAATTAGTCTGAGTTTGATTGTGTGGTATAAGATGTTGTTGTTTTTGTGTCTAAAGTTAAGTGTACGTATAGGTTTTTGTAAATTGAATTGATACTAGATTTTCTCTTTGAGAAAAAAGAGAACATCACCATGGACAAAAATTAACACTCATGGACCTTATCCGCCAAGAAATGATAAAATTGTTACCAAATTTTCGTTTTAGTGTGTCATCAAATCACCTTCTTGAAAACTGGGACTATTACTTTACTTGTTAGATAATCTACGAACATAAAATTTGAAGTAGTCACAAATAAGTTTCATTTTTGAGGAATTAATCAAACACAAGTTAGGTTTCGATAGATTTCTTGACCGGGATTATCAAGAACACATTGTTTCATCTTATACCCTCTAATCGAGACATGAAAAGTAAAGCGATAATAATTAAAGCTGGTATTGCTATATACATGGATAGACTATCGATCAAAACTCACTAATGAATTCAAACTGAGAGTAATTAATATTTCATCTCCGTCACGAGCCATCTGCGTCAATTGCTGTAGTTGTTGTTGAACACTGATATTCTGTTTTCCTGATTGTTGTTGTGCGGCACCTGGCGATGAAAGTTATGAAGAAAAAGAACTTATAATTCACAGTTTTGACGATCGTAAAGAAATTATTCTTACCATATTGTTGTTGTTTTGGTGATGAGGCCATTGTATATGTTGCTTGTTGTGAGATATTTGTTCCTGAAACACCAAAGCTACCATCCGATTGCATTTGTAAATTTGATGGTGGTACCGATACACTGAAAGGTGGTGAACTGGCTGATTCGGCTTGTGATGGGACATATGATGATTGAACAGCTAATTCCTCAATCGGTGACAACACCTTAAATGAGGCCGTTGGCGTTCGCGATTCAGCATCTGATTCGCCACCTGATGTTTCCGAGTCAGCATCAGGTTCCGATAATTTATCTTTGCTTTTTACCTTTCTCTTATTTTTCGAACTAGAACTATCTATAGAAATTTGATATTCTCATTTCTAGACAGTAAATGAAATTTTTAAATCTACCTTTGTCCTTTTTCATAGTGACAGTCTTCTCTTTTTTATCATCTTTATCGTTTTTTTTATCTACAAAAATCAAACTTAGCAGTAACAAGTTTTCGAACAAGAATAGAAAGTAAGGAAATATAAGCTCATATTTTATTCCCATTACGTTTGTCGAACTTTGACGTTTCGTCGTTTAATGTCTTTTTTTTGTCAGCTTTTCCACTTTTTTCCTTCGTTTTCTACAGCGAACAAAAAGCATGTGATTTATATAATTTATACTAAAGAAAAAAAAGGCTAAGAGCTAATAACATACATCATCTTTCTTGTCTTTTTTCGCTTTTTTATCGTGATTTGTATTTATACCATAACTGTCTTCATGACCGAAGAGTGCAGACGAATTTGTCTTTTTTCGTCGGTGATTATTATTTTGATTATTGTTATTGTTTGATGTAGCTGTTACTTCATTAGCAATCTGCCTTATTATATCCATGAGCACATCACTATTACCATTTTGTAAATATTCTTGTAAAAATTGTAATATTGATAATGCATCAACTTCTTTATGTCGAAGTTTTTCCGCTGTTTCATCATCATCGGATGATGACGATGTAGATAGTGTTTCTTTGTTCCAATCAACGCAATCGATTGACACTGCCATCAAATCATTCTTTGTATGAAGTAAATTTTGTTGTGTTAAGGTAAAATGATTTTTATTGCTATTGACAGTAATGTTATTACTATTATTTAAATTATTATTACTCCGTGTTCTATTCGCTATCCAAGTTAAACTTGGTTGTTGATCAGATTTGATAGTCGATGATGAACAAACAGGTAAACATTTTGATACCTCTTTCGTTAAAAAAGTTTTCCGTGTTGTTGCTAATACATCATCATCTGATATAATATTTGGTATCAAAAAATCATCTTTTTTTCTATCATCCATTGTTGATATGATTGTTTCGCTTGTTTGTACTTTATCAGAAAAATTGACGTTTGTATTCAAGGTGAGAAATGGACTTAAACGATGATTATCTTTGTACAAATAATCCAAACACTATCACAAAACAGAAGAAGACATGTATCAGGAAATGATGATGAGTTAAAACTCGGGAGGAAGAACATTATCGATCACTTTTGTTAAGTTCAAAAATTACTTTTGAATATAGGTTATAAGATTTTTGTGGATAAATTTGTTTTTGAATAGTTGATGATGTACAATTATTTTTCATATGTTGCCAAACAAAATAAAATAATGTTTTGGCAAAATCGATGTCGTTCATTCGTGTATCTTGTGCAGTTCGTTCTTCCCAGATATTTAATAATTCTTTAATATCAATGAGAAATTGTTTCATATCAATATTGTCCAACATTGTTTTTTTTTGGATAATTATTCAAATGTGAAGGAAAAATAAAGCTTAAAAGTAAATGATTCGAATATTTATCGAGATTCGATGATAATCAAAATAAAGATGCATTATTCAAATGTCCATAAAGAAGGGATGAAGTATTTTGTATTTTAAAAGGTAAATTAGGAAAAACACACGATGATTATTTAGTTAAATTCGTTGATGATAACGATCGTAGTTCAAATTAGCGTTTTACCATAGCAACACGATAATAAAAGAAATATCTCAATTTCAATAGCTTCATTCTAAAGTATTTTATAATTATAGTCAGGGTCTTATAAAGAAAAACAATCAGTTTGTGCGCGCTGGGCAGCAATCACTTATAAAATATTTGCTTGTACTTAGAATTCATTTGCTTGTTTTATAATTTCGTATGTACGAAATTTTGGAAGACCTGCACATCGACTATAATTATATGCCAATGATAAGCAATTTTGTTAAAAGAAAATATAATTAAAAAATTAGTCAAACTACTAATTCTATCTTATTACATTACATCAACTGCTTCAGGAAATAGTCAAGGATTGCAGTGCAGCACAAACTATTTAAACGTTTATTAAAATTGTTTTAAATCAAACCTTATCTTAATCAATTCAGAATATTTTATAAATCTTAAAATTACATCTTGTTTTAGAAATCTTGAACTGGTTAGTATGGATATAAACGTTAAAATTCTTTTATAGACTTCAAATTCAGAACTACCAATTTGAATAAATAATAGGATTTAGAGGAAGAAACATAATTTGTCATTTCTATACGAGAAGAATTGTAATTTTTCGCAGACAAATCACTCTAGATGAAGCAATAGTTTTTCAAAAGTTAAACCAATTAATTAATAACGATATCTACAAAGTACGAAATTGTTTTTTGTAAAATGGTATGTTTTTTTTTAATAAAGTTATACGATACAAAATAAATACATAGATATACCAAGAAGCTTTTACAAGTAGAAATAAAAGATCATGTGCGTTCATGCAGTAATTATTGCACACGTCTGCTCAACTCACTGGACGCAACCACAGTCCCTTGAATAATAGGCATCACCGGTTCATAACAACTGTTCATCAGTTTGTCCACGTAAAAGTCCACTTTTTGGTCAATCCGTTACGTTTTTAAATAATATGACTCCACAATGGAATAACATAATAGTCTGGGCAATGTCTTATTTTGTAGAGTAAACTGTCTTTTTTGACATTACAATCAAATAAACGCTTAGAGACGCCACTATAAATAGAGATAAGTTACCAAAAATCAGGTAAAAAGTGACTTTTGGGTCGCTCACTTACTGAGTTGTAACTTTTTAAATAAATGCTCATGAGAGGTTGCTTGACTGTCATTCCAAAGAAGATAGTTTACTCTACAAAATAAGACATTGCCCAGACTATTACGTTATTTCATTGCGGAGCTATAATTATTTCAAAATGTAACGGACTGACTTTTTTTGGCTGGGTTACGTGGACAAGCTCTAATCTTTTCCTATTTTTATTTGATGTAAATATTAAATAACTTCATCATAATTTCGTTGTAATGCCGAAACAAAACTGATTGATATAATATGTCCGGGTTTTGTTGCGTCAAACAGAACGCACTGACTACCGTTCTTCTAGCTCTTTACTTGTGTCACAACTGTCTCTTCCAATTCTGTCACTTCGTCGTAAATATTTTCGACTGGTACAGTTCTTCAAGATTTATCATCGTCTTAGTCCTCTTTCTTCC